AGTTGTTGTTGTTCAGTGCCGGGGAAGATGTGCGCGAATGAAAGCGATGACCAGAACGAGATATGACCTGTCTCTTAAAATTGAAAGCTAGCTCATTAATTGAAGCTTATAGATGAGAAATGCGTGTTTCGACTGCTGATGTTACTGTTAGTTCCGAAATGATTTTTGCTGCTGGTAATGCGATATTGTGTATTTTGTCTGCAAGAGATGCGATTTTATCGAGATTCATATCTGCTTGGGATTCAAGTATAAATTGCGTTGAGATGGCGGAGAAGAGTTTTCTATCACCCAAGGTCTCTCGATCAAGAAGCTGCGTAAGCGGTTCTACCAGTGCCCTTTTTAAGCGTTTCTGTGAACGTTCAAAAGATCTTCCACTCCTGTCCTGGCCTCAAGATGTGAAGAAGTATAGTGGTATTGCGTAATTTCATCGGAAATTTCGACGAGATGAAATTATCCCTCAAGTTAAGTGAGCCACAAGGCTGGTCGTTCGGAATTGAATAACGGACACTGTATAGAAACACGTGGGACCGGCGTTATACTGTCGGTCACTATCACGTCCACGCTATCTGGCATAGTGGTTTTGCATAACAAAATGAAATAGTCGGAAAGTTGCGCTTAACCCTGTAATGATTAGAAATGCGCGAAAAGTCCAGTTGTCCCCCAATCGGTCGTATGCGTGGGCAGCCATGTGCGCGGTTATGCACAAAAACCAATACACCAAGTGCACTGTAGTCGAAAGTTTATGCGCAAGTATTGGTGAAATTTAAATTAATAAACGAAATGCACTTTAGACAATTTAGTTAGGGAATTTTAAAATTATATTAACAAATCGCGGAAAAACTATTAGATCACGTCGGAGTCACTAGTTGTGGTGGTTATTGTGCCGTAACGAAGGTTTATTTAATTACGATGCGCACGCGGTGGCTGCCAGCAAGAGAAGTGACTTGAACATGTGATGTATAGTCTTTTATAATAATAGCAGGCGTCTTCGAGCCTTACTGTTGTCTATGGATTCGCTGTTCCGTTATGTGTCGAATTCCTATCAGCGTGTAAGCCAGGAGCAACTGACTTGCTGACATAGTGTTGCTATGTTACAAGGTCGTATATTTGCAGGTCTACTTACGTTAACTAATATAATATATTGAGAATGAGTACTGACCTCAGCGTACAGGAAAACGCAGTTAAAGTTTTTGAATAGTACAAGTCTGTCAAGCAAAGGAAAGAAAGTTGTAAATGAATTACTCTTGCTGTAACATGCTGTAACCACATGATTTTTTTAAAGTCGAAATATCTATCCAAATTATATTAAAAATCTTCTAGGGATTGAAGCAGAGGATGAAAACCTTCTTTTAAATTTGTTTAAACATTTCATACTGTATATATACAATATATTATATATATGGGTTCATAAACCTTAATTACGAATTTAAATTATTTATTAAAATGAAACTTTTTACGAAACGTCTCATATCATTATTTTGTTCATCTATCGTATGTCTCATTACAGCTCTCTATATTTACATACATATGTAAGTACATTTGTTTGTACGCATCACCCCCATATGCGCAATCGCAAACACAGGAACTTGCGTGAAATATTTACTAACTTTATATAAATGTACACTTATGCTCTGTAAATTACAACGAAAATTCTAAGCATCAACGAACCCACAACATCCAACCAAACATCTCTTAAATAAATAATGAAACTGCAATGAAGCAAGCAAAATTATAGCACTTAATTAGTGCTGGTGGTAAAAAGATATTCTTGTTTCGAGCGGTTTCGAATCCTGGTCAAAGATTTATATTTTCCCATACTCACTACGTCACTAAGAAAACGTCGGAGACCCCATAAAGTACATATATAAATAAATGATCAGAGTGACGAGCTGAGTCGATTAAGTCATGTCCGTCTGCATGTGTGTATATATACAAGTACATGGGTTTTTGTCCAACGCAATGGTGCAATCTCCAAAGAAATTGCTTAGATCGAGTCAGTATAGCATATAGCTGCCATACAAACTGACTGATCAAAGTTATTGTAAGGAATTTTTGCAAATGTGAATATGTATAGGTTCGGTGCAGCGGAAGTTAACGTTTTTCTTGTTTTTTTTATTTTGATTAGCATAGTTGATCGCAAATATGAATGTTGATGCTTTTAATTAATTGATTTTTATCAAGTTGTCAATTGTTAAAATATATAATATTGGTATATACTTTGTTGTTGATGCGCTTGCGTTTACGAATGGAAATGTTTTCCATGTAGTTGTGTTCAATTTTATTATTAATTTAAGTATTTCATATATTTTTGCTGGTTAGAACAGAAATACTTTAATAATAATAAAAAATTGCATATAAGGATAAAAGTCGCTAATGATTACCATAAAATATTAAGAGAAAAGGATATGGCATAAGGTCATAAAATTGCCCGACTCTAGTTACGCGTTTAAACGGAATGGACTAAAGAGTAGTTGCTGATGACGCGCAATCAAAGTTTTCACGACTGAACTCAGACAAATTATATTAAGAAATTGTAGGGTTAGATAATAAACAAATATTGGCGACTGTCGACTCAGTTGCCTGAGACTGGTATTATTTAACCATTCACAATATATATTGCCTATCGGTTACTATACTCGCTCTAGTATTTAAACTTAGTAGAGGTATAAATGTGAAAACTGTGAAAATATGTTGAGACAGCTTGAAAATTTGTTTTATGAATTTATCAGGAAGCCATTTGGTTTAAAGAATGTCCCATCCATTAGTAAATTTGCGTATATTTATATTGACGACGAGCGAATACACTCATCCGTGCCCGAAGAACACATGAAACACATTCGAACTATAATCCACACATTGAACAATGCTACATGAAAACTTCTGAGGAAAAGTCAAATTTCTTTATGCATTGAGTTGAATATCTAGGGCATATTATAAAACACATTAGGATAAAATAGTTGATCATAAAAAAATTTAAGCTATTAAGGTCCACAACCCAAAATTTTTAAAAAATTCAGATATTTTATTGCAAACCTGCAACCGAACTTTTCCAACCAGATTTCTCCAAGCCTTTTAATTTGACAACAGATGCAAGCAATTGCGCTAATGGATCAGTTCTTGCTCAAAATCATCAACCAATCGCTTCTATTTCAACCACATTAAACAGAACAAAATAATAGTAAACGAGAAGCATGATCTTTACAAAAGCGAAAAAACGAAATGGTTAAAAATGTTGCTTAAGAATCAAATAAGTTTGCTTTTAATAAGTAAGAATCAAATTAGTTTGCTAAATAATGAAAGAAACGAAGTGCTCCTCAAAGAATATTTCTCAGTCGATTTAGAAACACAATCAGGCATGTTCCAGAAACCGAATGAAGTTGATGTGATTTCGTTTTTACAAACCGAATGATTTCAATTAAGGTTGTCTACGAACCGAATGATTTCTTTTCTTTCGAAGTCTTTCTATTTTACATCAAAACTGCTGTTTGAAGCAAATGACATTTATTTTCAATTGATATGTAAATTTAAATTTTTTCGATCTAACATGCGCACTGCCGTAAGAGTTTTGCCAAATAATGACTTCGCGTTGCAGAAATTTAAAGGACGGTTTTTCAGTAATAGTTCAAATCCGTTCGAAGATGTTGATGTACTGTTTAAATACTTTTATTGACTATTTTAACTTTGTAGCACAATATGAAAGAATTCCAATTTATCTGCAACAGGGAGCAAAAGTACGTTTCCAAATGACCGTTGGGAAAGATACGTTTCATTACGAAGAATCACCGCATCTAAAGTACTAAGTTGTCTAATAGAGCGGGCATTACTTTGGGAGCGGACTGAATTGGAAATGACAATGATTTAACAAAATCTAAACAGCTTTTTTTCGGGAAAATTTGGTATCTTGGAGTAGTTAGTTGTATAATATTGATGGCAGGTCAGATTACAGTATTGCAGTGGCTATTGAATTCAGTTGTAAGTTCCTTCCACAACGTTTCACTCTGCATTTTTTCTCCTTTTTATTAAGAAAGTGCCAAATATCTCTGTACGTACGAAAATATAACGAGAACTCATTATAGTACAACACAATCCCACGCAGAAAATATACTCAAAAACAAAATAAATACTAAAAAATTATCTTAGTTGGTGGCTATGGATTTAGCAGGACAGAGTTTAAGGCTACTTGCAGCAAAGAAGGGAGAAAGGTCCATATAGGCATTCACTTTCGAATACATGCCATTGATTCTATAAGAGGTAATGGAAATCTTTTCCGGTGGATCAGGGAGTTTCAAAATATAGATGTTAAACAGTAGCGGGGAGAGGACACGACCCTGCGAAACCCCCGTTTAATTTTTCTCTGCTTAGAATTTTGACTTCGAAATAGTACGGCTGACTGACAGCGGCTCAAATAATTCATGGTCCATTTTTTCAGCTTTGGATTAAGCTTGGATTTTCAGAAGATCTGAGCGGCTGCTTAAATTGGTATTTCGGACTGCAGCCAACGATTTGTAGTGTCGAGGTGATGGTTGTTCGCTGCTGCAGTTCCTGCTTAGGCGGTGGCCCCTATGTGGTATCATTTGGAGACGCCATTTTAGGTTATTGCGGAATAGACTTCTATAGCAAGAGGCAATTAACGACACACTTCACTCATGTTGCGTGCGTAGGATAAAACTCGTCGGAAAATGATAACAGTCAGCACAGGAATTTCACCTGACTGATGGACCAGGAGTGGTCTTATTGATCTTTCACGAGGATGGAACGGTGTGATAAGCTGATTGAGAGAATTGAACATTCTTAATTTAGCTTACGAAATATGTTTGTGTTTTTTCATATATTTTTACAAACCTAATCTGGAGATCCTCTCTATCAACCCATACTCCAACCCCATTTTATATTATATGATGACTCCAGAATACAGTTGGAACCAATACAACGTTTAAATGCTACATTTCTAGTGGCATAAGCACGAAAATTTTGTAATATTATATTATGTATATGCTTACCGTCTCCTCAGCATTAAATTCAATTACAAACGTATCGTTCTGCAACGTCTGTACGGTAATTAGCATTTCAATGTTTTGCCGTTATTTTTAGAAAAAATTCGATTAAATAACTTAAGGTGTATTTTATATTATTATTTTCTATATTATGCACAAATTACAATTTATTTGTCTAAGAAATTTTATTTAGAACCTGTAGCAAATGCATAAATCTTCAAAAATCTTCATTATAAATTAAAACTATCGAAAATATTATATACCGATCGCATTTTATTTTCTACAAAAATGTACAACATTTGATAATAAATATGTAATGCCAAATTATTTCTATAAATGAGCATTAAACTATATTAAATGGGCAGCACTGACTATTAAAGTTTCGTTACGCAGCCTATGTATCCAGCACCATGGATAAAATGATGCGAAACTCCTCTCTTTGCCTTCTGAGAGAGCTCATGAACTTTCAGTGCGACCAAAGAAACCACGAGTTCATGAGCTACTGAACAGATGACAAGCAAAACAAACTAAGAATCCCGCAGAAATAAATTGCGAAATCAGTAGGTTATTTGTGAGATCAGATTTTTTAGTGACTTTCTAATCTTTATTTAAAGAGATTTAGTATAGTTTGGGTTTAAGAAAGAGCAGGTATTTTGTCGCAGAGTATTGTTTTGCTTAGCAGTACCAATTGTCAACGTATATACATATTTTGGTTAGAATCCCCAGCAAATGTTATGTAAACTTTGACTATAAAAAATACATAAGGTTCATGTTTGGGTTATTTAAAACTTGTAAGTGTTTTGGATTAATAAAATATTTTATTAAATTTATTTTTAAAATTAAATTTTGAAAATCGTTTGTGATTAAAATATACATGTACACATATTTGGACCGCATATAGAATATCTACAATAGTTTGTTAAACTAATATTAATTATGTATATTTTTCTGTTATATAAAACCCGAAAAATACTCAAGAAATACATTAAAAAATCTCAAAACTTATTTTTTCCTTAGGGGCACCACTGTAAAATATTATAAAAAATGTTGACTTTGACAGCGCTCTCTCGATTCAAAGAGTTTCGGATCATTTTATCCTTGGCCGGCCGGTACCAGGGATAAAATGATCCGAAACTTCTCTCTTTGCTTCTTAAGAGAACCCACGATTTACTTTGGCAGCACTGAAAGTTCATAGGCTACTGAACAGATGACAAACATATAATATAGTGTATGAATTTAGTTTTAAGTATATTTTATTATATATAACTGTTTTTATTAAAATAAGAGTGGTAAGTATATTACGTTATTAAAGCCGTAACAAATACGCACATATGTATATGTAAATAAATTATGTTTTTCTAACGAATAAGATGCCAAAGAGTAAAAATCGGTGTGTGACTGGGTACGAGAAAGCGCAACGTTTTTTTTTTAATTTTCCTAATAAGGAGAAGGATGGATCCAGTTTTCATGCAATTTATTGCATAATAAAAAATATAGCATGCTCGCTATTTGTAATATATTTTATTTATTTGAATTTTTATATTTATTAAATTCACGTTAATATGTTTTTTGAGTATGTTAGCTTACTTTATTTATAAAATATTAGTGAAAATAAATATAATCAGAATAGAAAGTATCGTAAATACTAATAAATAAATGTTGGTTTAGTGTTGCAATATTAGTTTTATTGGTAGCCGCAGTATATTTTTATTTAAAATTAAAGTATTATAAGTAAAGGTATGAAGGTTTAGGTTATATTTGTTTGTTTTTAGGTATACTGTTTGAATGCAACGTTTGGGCGTAGAAGAAAACCTGCTAAAGTATTTATATTTATCCACCATATCTCGGATGAGGTAAAATATTTGAAAAAACTGTCGCCAACTGCGGTCTTAGATACAAATTTACCTCCTACAAACAATTTTCATGTAGAATTTGACGAGCCTAGATTTTGTACCCAAAATGGTCGAGAACCCCTCAGGTTTGAGTGAGCTATTATTACTAGCGTCTGTAGAAGACGCAAAAACACAGGGAATAGGAGTTTTGGAAAATATCTCCATGGGCGATATTTCATTAGAAAAAGTAAAACTGGTTTTAGCTTGACATCCTTAGCGCAAGTTTGAGGGTTAAATTAGAAAAAAAAGATCAGGAGATTAGTTATTTAAAATTTTAATTGAAAGAAATGTTAAAAAAATACATTATTTGGAGAGTGAAATTAAAAATTTAGGAGAGGGTTATAGTTGTAAAGAAAATTTAAGTAGGAATCTTCCTCCTCAAATAAACCGTATTATAAAAAAAAGTTTAGTAAATTGTAGTCGACAACCAAAAGGTCGTAGATAGGACAATTATTTTAAAACTTTGGCATTAGGTGTATATTTTCTTTCACCTTTGGCATATAGACACCTAAAGCCTCTTCTTAGATTTCCAGAAGAGAGAACTTTTGACGAGTTCGTTTCCGAATGGCCCTGAGGCCCCTGTTGTAGTAATAGTGTTTAATTAAAGTGTGTAGAGTTAAGAAGTCGAGATTTCACGCAGGATCAAAAGTTCGTTTAGAAATGTAAACTTTATGTATTTATCTATGATTTTAGGAGTGACAGAAGAACGCCAATCTTTTCAGGTCGATGGCAAGGATATATTATTTTTTCTTGCCCTTTAAAAAACACCAGGAATTGATTTGAAAATTCAAAATATAATGTCAGTTTTGAATAGCGTCCGGTAAGTTTGATTGACACCGTTTGTTTTATAATAAGGATTCCCAAAATCCCGTGCGTTGTGCCCCCAGGCTGTCTGAACATATGTTTCCGAATAGCTTTCAAAAAATGAATGTAAAGCTAGCGTCCCAAGAGATACCGTAGCCTCTGGTATCTCGCTTCATATAGTTCAGGACTTTTGTCGTGCTCTAATGCTCGATTTTTAAGTACCGCGGAGTACATTTTATTATTTAATATTTTAAATAGTATTAATTTTGAAGCTGTTTTGCTAACAAAACAAAATATTTTCGGAGTCAGACCCCCAGTTAAAATTTTCAGACGAGGCAGTAAGAATTTTAAAGACAATTAGAGTAATAGACGAAAATGGGTCTGACATAACAAATTCTTTCAATTATATTAAAAGTTGGATTTTAAATAACTATTAGTAGTATAAGACGCTTGTGGCGGTTTTTGTCACAGTCAGGCTTCACTAATCTACAGACAAGAAAACTTCGCCAAGACAATTTAGAACACTTCTTCGGACATATTAGAAGAGGACGTGGAAGAAGTGGAAGTAGCACTGCTTATATGTTTTGTAACCTCTTCAAAAAATCTTGTGGAATAAGATACGCCAATATCATAATAAAGGGAAACTGCTAACCCAATTTATATATTTATATGACGGCACTCTTTCTCTTTTAAATTGTTCATTATATTTGTTATTATAACCACTATATATACCATTCTAAGTCGAGCGGACAAATTGACGTGAATTGTCAACCTCCATGAGGAGTGGTCTCTGTGGCTTGTTGCTGTTATCTCTGAGTATACCCGTATTGTACTTGTATACCTTGGTTATATCGGTGTTACCTGTCCTCATATCGTGGTGATAGGGGACTGTCTGAATTGCGTTGGCGTGGAGGAGGTCCTGCCGGTTGTATTTCGGAATGTTGGCTTGCGTTGTCGTGGCAAATAGAAGAAACGATTGCGAAGGCTACTTTCAAGTTCTTTAGTATACTTGCTGTTAATACCCATGATGAAGGTGCGAATTGCTTCTTGCTTTGCATAATCCTTTATTGCTGTGTTATTCTGGTTCCTGGATATTTCAATCTTGGACAGGGCTAAGTTAAATGCTTTGCTTACTTCACTACTCTGCCGTCCCTGTTTAATTCTTTTCATTTCGTCTAATAACACGTAAAGCGGTCACTGATCGGCATATGTATAGTCCAGGCGGTTTATTATTGTCACCAGTTAAATAAGTGAAAGAGCTGCCGATAATCATATTTAACGTTAGTTTTCTTTAGATTGTGACAATTGTGAATAAGAATTACAAAAAAAAAATTGCTCAATCTTACTTATGTCATAGAATGAGAAGAGGCAACATAGAAAAACTGTCAAATAGCTTATAATTTTCCCAATTTCTATATACTATCAAATATTTCGGTCAGTGTGTGAGTTATCTTCATTAACTTGAATGGAAACATGTAATGCAGTATATTAGGGTAAAAGCAAAATTCATGCTACCAGGTTATATCTTTTCGTTCCCAATAAACGCGATATAAGTATTTCTTGACTTTCCATCTAACTATAAACCGTTTATCAAAATGTTGGTCAAATTATGAGACATAATAATTCAATTAAGTAATATTTTTCTTCTTCTTTATTTCGGACTAGCCAATTGTAGCTATGAAACTACAGAAATAAATAAGATAAAAAATTTAAATTTATCCATTCGGCTTCTTCGAATAATGCAAGTTAATTTTAAAGAAATTGTGTTTTCCTTTATTGTGTACAAAATTATGACTGACCAATAGTTTCTTAAATTTACTCTAAACTAGCTGTGGGTCAACGGCGTCAGAATTATTGGCGGCAGCGTTGAGTGGATATTCAATAGTCAGCAGGACTTGCAGTTTATGCGTTGTTGATATCGATCGATTCTGAGAGTTGAAGTGGCTTTTTGTTTATACTGAATGGTCAGCAGAAATTTCGATCGATTCCGTGACTTGGAGCGGATAGTTATTTTAACAAATTTCGTTATGTTGTTGAACTTTAATAATGCTGCAATGAATATTGCTACATTGTTGCAATTAATTCTGATACATTGTTGCAGTCAATATTGTTATGTTAAGATGAAAATTGTTTGTGTTAACTTGCTTGTAGAATTCTAAGGTAACATTTTTATACTCTTGCAACATGTTGCTACAGAGTATAAAAGTTAGTAGTCATTTAACACCTGAAACTTATCGGGTTAAATATAGATTGCGGTATCTCACTAAATAAATACGCCAAAAACATAAAATTTCACATCCCTTATGGTACGGAAAGGCTTCATTGGAACAAGTCTCAAAATTTAACAATGGGCTTGGTACTGCCCACCTACACTCATGTCTAAAAATGGTCAAAATTTCTTATCAATACTCTTGAGGCCAGTACCTATGTCTGACTTTTACCGAATATATCGATCAATCTGTCAGGTCTGGTATTGAAATTCTGAAAGAATATTTTTATGATAACAGCAGCCCTACTGTCAAAAAGAGGCAAAATCGGGTCAATCTTCCCTTATCCCCATATACTCAATATAAATATATTCGAATTTCCAACAGTGAGTTATTTCAATAATACGCAGAAAGTATATATTTCTGGTAATGATATTTTCTAATGCCAAAAAATAGATA